ATTCTATTATTATTATTATTATTATTATTATTATTATTATTATTATTATTATTATTATTATTCCTCTGCTGTGCTATTAAACTGTCTTTATCTCAACCCACAGGTTTTACTTTTTTTTTTCCGATTGTCTCCCCCATCCCACCGGGGCGGAGGGTGAGCGAGCGGCTGTGTGGTGCTCAGTGGCCAACTGGGGTTAAACCACGACAGGATCTCTGAATGGAAATTTAAACATGGACCTTCTTCCAAAAGGTTTCCAGCTTCTGAGCTGATCCTGCATTAACTTCTCTATCAGCAACTTTCATTTCCTTTAAAGCGTCCTAATGGTATCAACAGTATTTCACACTCACCACAGGACTCGGGGGTCGCTCCAGATTTACTTACGCTGACCTCTTTTATGAAGCCTGCGTAGGCCCCAGACCCAATTCCTCCATAGCAGGCACCTACAAGAAGAATATTGGAGTCTGCATCTCAAATTCTTGCCCAGTTTTGCTTTGTGGGGAAACCAGAGCGGTACCATGCCAAGGAGGTACGCTGGGGTCCGCAAAAATCCCTACGGGCCTTCAGCGCTCTGCCCCTGCCCTCTTACTTCACTCCTCCCAGTGCAAAAGGCTCTGGGTATTGAGCATTTGCTTTTCTCAAAGTTCACGCCAAAGGGTGGAAACATTTACCTCAGGATTTGCAGGCACGAGTCTCTGCCCCCAGAGACAGTCGCGTCCTGAGGGGCCTGGCCTGGGACCAGCAGGGACACCACAGGCACTTCACACGCTTCTGCCCGAAAAACACCGAACGCGCATTTTTTTCCCCCAAATCCGCTACGCACTTCCCCCAGCCTGGGTCTGAAGCGGGACTCCGCTGCCGGCCGCCCCCGGGCTGAGGCGTTCCGCCGTTGCCCACGTCAGCGCCGCGCCATGACGAACGCCTACGCACTACACTTCCCTACATGCCTCGCGCGTAGAGCGCGCTCCCGCGGGGCTCACCGCCCAAGGGTCGCGGTTGTCCCCGCCCCCCTGCAGGACGCTTTTCTGATTGGCCGATGCGTTCCGAGTGCCGCTTTCTCATTCGCGGGCCGGGCCTGCCGTTGAAATTTGAAATCCTGTGGCGGCGCTGGTGGAGGGGGCGCTGCCCGGCGGTGGCTGCAGCGGCGGGAGCTC